ATTTACCGTTTATATGTTAGTAGTTCAGAATTGAGTTATCTTCTATAATTCCAATAAAAAATAATCCATACAGTTCTGTGAGAATCCTAGAAAAGGAAAACTGAAGGCTTCGGCCTGAAAGTAACGTCAAATCCGTAGCGTCCTTGACATTCCTTTTCAGTTCTATCCAGTTGTTGTTGATTCTTCTCATATCTGTCTCGATTTCTCGCCGTAATGTGTTCTTTGATCTTCCTCTTCTCCTTTGGCCTTGAGGATTCCAAGTCATGGCTTGCCTTGTGACGCAGTTGGGTGCTTTCTCCAACATGTGTTCTATTCACTTGCAGCGCTTCCTCATGACTTCTTTCTCCACTGGGATCTGGTTTGTTCTCTCCCACAGTAGGTTGTTGCTGACAGTGTCTGGCTAACGAATCTGAAGTATTTTGTGTAGACAACTGTTAATAAACACTTGTATCTTCTGGATGATGGCTTTCTCAGTTCTGCAATTTTCCGCCTCATACAGTAGAACTGTCTTGATATTTGTATTGAAAAGTCTGACTTTGATGTTGGTTGACAGTTGTTTTGAGTTCCAGATGTTCTTCAGTTGTAGATGTGCTGCTCTTGCTTTGCCAATCCGCGCCTTCACATCTGCATCAGATCAACCGTGTTCATCAACGATGCTGTCCAGATATGTAAAGGTTTTACATCTTCCAAAGCTTCTCTGTCAATTGTGATTGGATTGGTGCATGCAGTGTTGTATCGGAGAATCTTGCTTTTCCCTTTGTGTATGTTGAGACCTACTGCTGCTGATACAGCTGCAACACTGGTCGTGTTCTCCCGCATTTGTTGTTGCGTGTGTGATAGAAGAGCCAGATCATCTGCATCCTAGTTGTCCACTGTATCCCATGCTTCTCCTCAGATGTTGACGTCTTCATGATCCAGTCGATAACCAGGAGAAAGGGAAAGGGTGAGAATAAGCAACCTTGCGTGACAAAGCTCTTTGTCTCGAACGAGTCTGTCAACTGGCCTCCATGCACAATTTGGCTGTTTAATCCATCGTGGGGATTCCATATGATATTGACTTTGTTATCACGCACGCCGGAGTGTAAAATGATGGATTCCATGCAATTGTTTATTCTACGACGACTCGTGGTGTTGCGATTCGGTCGGTATATTATCGGCCCTTAAGTAATCCAACCGACACTATATTAATGAAAGCCTCATCTGCAACAGCACAGGGTTTTCCGAAGTGAACATGAGCGATGAGTAGGTGTTCCGGAAACTGCAGCACCTACGAAAAGACACTCCTTGTGACCCGGATACGGTTCATTCTGCTTTACTGAGGGAAGCAGCTTCAATTCTGTCAACATCGCTTAGCGTGATGTTCTCACACTCGCTAAGCCGAAGCAAACTACCGGTGGTTTGGAACATGGATCACATCACATCAATTTTCAAAGGAGGTGGACTCAGCGAACCTTCAAGTTACCGACCGGTGGCTCTTCTCTCTTTAGTTTCAAAAATTATGGGGCCACTGATACGCGAGGGTATACACGACTGTTAAACTTCTTTTCATTCCAACAGCATGGTTTCAGAAAGGGTCATTCTTGTATAGCCAAATTGCTGACTGAGGTGGACAGATGGACAGCTATTTTTGATCGCTAGGAGAAGGTTGACGCCATACGCCTCGACTTCTCAAAAACTCTTGATAAAGTCAACTACATATGTTTTATCAATAAGCTCAGACGACTAGGTATCATATCATTTCTAAGTGGTTGACTCACACGATATCTAAGAAATCGACATCTTAAGGTTAGGGTTAACTTCGATTTCCCTCAGACTACGGAATGTCCTAGTGGAGTCTACGAGAGTTCAGTAATGGGACCTCTTCTTTTTTGATTTATATAAACGATCTTCCACAACAGGTACTGTCATACTTATTACATTTTACTAACCGTGTGAAACTTTGGAGAGAGATACGCAACCAAGGTGATATGCCCGCACTGCAGGAGGATCTGAATCGACTTCAAAGTTGGACAGATGACAACGAACTTACTTTTAACACTTCAGAGTTTAAAGTAGAGCATTTGAGACATGTTGAAGACTACAATTACAACAGAGGAAACTTCCCTCTAGAAGTATCTCATTTTGAAAAGGATTTAACAGTGCTGGTAACCTACAATTTTATTTCTTACGCTAACTGTGACAAAAACGCCTTTCGAACAAACCTTGCACAGGTAACGCATTTTCGGCCAGTTCGACGGAGGAACTTTCCACATCATCTTTAACAGTTTTATTCGTCTTCATCTAGAGTACGGAAAAATAGTATTTCCTCCCTAACTCCAAAAGGACAGAGACACTCTGAAGCGTATCCGAGAGCGTCATGAATTCAGATCGTGGATTCAAATTCTAGCCTTATGAAGAGCGTCTCCACCCACTAAACCTTTATTCATTAGAGTACAGGCATCTTAGAGGTGATCATCTGATGGCTTGCAGCATCCTTAACACTTCTGGACATCCCCTCAAACACTTACTTAAATTTAGCCTCAACACAAACCTAAGGGGTAACACTTAGAAACTGGAGACACAACACAACCGAACGAACTGTAGACACAACTTGCACTCCTTAAGAGAGGTCAAATGCTGAAATTCGCTGCCGGCTGAGTTAGTCCAAGCGACTTCCCAGGAGTCCTTCAAGAGGAAACTTGATATATTCTTAAGTACTAATGGTGGTATCTTACTATGATTTACCAATTTCTTTTTCCTCTATTATCGTCAATATGCTTAGGTTCCAGCCTGGAGGAATTAGTGATCCACTGTTACTAGACACGGAAGCTTCTTTTATTCCGCCTACAACTATTTAAACCATTTGAAGCACCATTTAGTTTTGTTTTTAGAGTGGAAATGACAGGAGGCTGAATAATTTATGGTATATGTCTTTTAACGTCTTTCGCACGAACATGTAAAAGCGGTTGATAATTTCGCGCTCTTTTTGTTGCTTTAGTGCGACTAAAGGTATTCGGTAACGTTTTCGGTGGCTCAGGAATATGAATCCAGTTTGATTGGATGAATAATTGTTATTGAAATATATATATATATTATCGTGTTAACTGGAGTTAGTGAATAACAGAATTCCTGTAAAAATGGCGTGTGTCTGCTCTTGCAGAAATATATATTATTATATTAAATAGGCTAAGTAAGAAAATGAGTTTTGAAAATGTTTATTTCATGCACTTAGTGACTTGAACAGGCAGTCGGGGAAACAAAACAGAGAGGCAAGAGCAAAGTGGATTCTAGCTCGCAAGTGAGCTAACTGGAGTTAATCAAGTGTTAATCAATATTCATGGTCACAAAAAAGTAAATCACAGACATGCGATGAGTACGATAAGATTTGCACGCACATAGACTCATCTAAAAACAGTCATTAAATAAGTCAATAAGTGAAAAGGTCAAAATGTGGTTTTAGAAAAATGAATAGATTGGCTTGTTCGGAAGCTAGAACGAATAATGTGGGTTTGACTTGGCACTCACACTATCCCTCACACGCTCAATGATTAGCAGAATAGCCACTCTACTGCACTAAATTCAGTAATTTCAGTAGTGATCAGAGAATTTCTATATCTTCTAGTCCTAGTGAGTGCCTCTGTCCCATGATAGTAGGGTTTATGGATACCGGCACTATTCACATTACCATACAGGACGCTGGTTGGTCAAAATCTGAAAAATAATAGTGATAATTCGGATACTAGGAGAATACGATTGTTTTAAGAAATAAATGAGTTAGAAGACTGATTGGCAATGCACATATTATGAGAATACAGAAGTGTAGGAATAATAGAGGAAGTGGAGATGATAATAAGCCAAATAGAAACAAGTTAATGATGAGATAATGACAACAGTATGCAAGTTACGAGACACGCATCCGACACAAATGTTTCAAGAGGGGATGGTAATCCATGGATGAGTACGTGTTTGCCAAGTCTTCTCTTGAAGCCATTCACTGAGGAGGCTGTGGTCACTTCGGTTGGGAGAACACTACCAATAGGGGCAACTCTTAATGAAAAAAGAAAGAGCGTACCTGGGTTTTCGTTCTTTGATCTGCAATCTTTCGATGATTGTCTCGAGGAACGTGGTGTTGTTTATGTAGGATACACTCATTTGGGGGACTTATAGTACTTAATATGTTGTATACCATAATCAGAGCACCGCTTATTCTCCCACAGCTGTGTTGTAGTTTGTCTTGGCAATATTTGTGTTCTACCCTATCATCCACTTGGTTGGCCGTCTATGAGTTTGGTCCGAGATTTAAATCACTTATAGTAATCAGGAACGATGAATTTAAACACTCCAAAAGAAGCTGTGCATATTCTTATCATTATTAGAAGCAATTATTGCGTGATTTCGCTAAGGTTTCTAAGTAAAAGATGAATTGTTACATTTCCATTGTCTGCATCCGCTTGGCGGTCCGGAAAGACATCTGTGAGGCGCCTAAAGTCAAATTAGTAAAGCTCTAGTGATTCGAGGCACAATTCACAACGTTCGACTGGAATTCCTCGAGCAGGTTTCATGGATTGCCTTCGGATACGTTCCACTATATTTTTATTTCTTTGAAGTAAGGGAGGAGACACTTCATTTTTGCATTCCAAAAGTGGTTGAACGAAGTTGTTAAAGATTGGATGAAGATTAGAAATGCAAGCTCGCCAAAAATGCGCTCCAACGTTACCATTGCAATGTTTGCTCTGAAAGCGTTTCGTCAAAACTATCATACCTTATTCATCTTTGGACACCTTTGGAGGAGAATCATCAACTTTGTATGTGTAGTCTGTATCACGTATCAGATAGACTACTTTACACTTTGAAGCATTTTTCATTGAGCCTTAGTCCATCATTAAAACAAATCCAAGACTTTTCATGTTTAGATATAAGGCCTTATTTCTTGTGGAATGCTTCTGAATCATAAAATGTAAAAATCCGTAATGTTTGTTTATCTAAGGTAACTAAAATTGAGCATAGGTCATTATTAGTTCACTTCATGAGGCGTTTTTCCTGCAACGGTTACGTTAGTTACATTTACGATTCCTTCCGTATTGTTATATGAACGTAGGCCTTCTCTTTTTTATAAAACGGTACTGACTTTTAAGCTAGTAACGTGCGTGTAGGTGATCACAGTAAGCTTCACGAGCATAAGTGGTGTGACTGATGGGGCTGCTCCAAAAAGTTATATTACCAGTTAACGTGACTGTTTATAATTCGTAGAGGTTTAGCACACGAAAAATACAAAATTACTTAACTCAACGTAAATTCCAGTACTTGTTTCAACGAAAGAAAACCTCTGAAATGTTACCTTCAGTCCTGTAGCAGCTAATATTGTGTAACTCTTGTATGTCGGTTTGAAAGGAATTTATTATTCGATCCGAAATAAAATATGAAACTTGTCTTCAGCAAATTTTGTGCACTACGAAATGATTACCATCATAAATAATGAAGTGAACACATGTGTCGTGTGACAAAGAATGGCCAGGACAAGACAGATGCCATGACCATTTACCGTTACAACGTTGTTAGACGTAATCCTCCTGTCAACAAAGAATTCGAACGAGGTGTATCATGGAGTTGATTACTCACTTCAGACTTGACTAACAGTATGGTGTGTGTTACTTATGTTGACATGCACAAGTAGTATGTAGCATCGTTCGAGAATAGGATGCCTGGCAGTAGAATGTTTAAATGAAGAGAAGAAGGACGTAGACAGAGATGAATTAGAATGACAACATGATTTGAGGAATGAAGGGGTATGTGTAGGACCAATGAAGGAAGATGTGTAAATAATGTATTGAATGTATTATTTCCATATTTTACGAAGGTGCTGTATAATTCTGCATAAGACAGTAAATTGTTTTTCCCACCACAGTGTTTGTTCACCACAACGGTAGTTTACTCTTTAGAAGTGTGAAGATCGACATAGTTGAATTACTTACATTCACGGTGATTGAGACTGTTTAAGATGAATACGGTTGTCCCGACACTATAATACTGGGAATGTCATACATTCAGCGTACTTCACCAGGGAGTTAGAAGGAGGTCATATTACTTATGCGAACAAAGCCGAACAGTAGCCCTTGTAGTAAAGAACGATTAAACTAACGAAAACAGTCCGCAGTACGATTTTTAGGATGGGTCATCACCCATGACAAATCTTTCGGTAAAGCGGATCTGGATACAATATCGAGATTACAGAGAAGTGGCAAATTTAATGTACTTAATTTTTATTTAGACCCTTGATGAAGTTTCACGCAATACGTTCCTTTTTAATTCTGAAAAGCCTGGAGATGGCAGAGCACCTTTGGTGGCTTGGAGTTATCTTACTAGTCTATGGCAGAAGACAAGAACCATCTTCAAAACCCTATTTCAAAACCAATACATAGACGTGTCTCGCGTGATCCGGTTATCAGTTATATTATATGCAGTTTGTCATAAGATCTTCATTGATACTCTATGCTGATAACAAAATTTGGGAGAATCGTCAAGAGATGGAAATACGAGCACATTTCTGTCTGACTTTGGTTACCTGTCAAACCGGTATGCCTAACACGTATCAGATTGTCTAAGCCAACCACCATACAGATGGTACGAACAAAAAAGCAGACAAAATACTACCATTCAGTCATGTTTATACATTTTAGAACATTGTTGCTTTTGAGAAAGACCTCCAGAAAGTGGGAAATTTGTTCACTATGACATACCTGGTCCCAGTGTGGTCCAAGCGAGAAAAATTCATTGCCAAGTGCAAACCCAAAACTTTCAGAAAATTTATAGAGAATGGCTCCCCGTGTGCCCCTTTCGGTAGCCTATCTGAATTGACATGCTAGATGTTTAAGAAATAGTAGTTTCTCGATTCATATGGTTTTACGTCGAATCACTTCATTATGTATAACAGCCCATCCTACTGAGGTAGTCAGGAGTGTTGTTTTGTAAGAACCTTTTGCAAAAACACCCAAGATTACTGACAGAGTCACATATTTAAGATAAAGATTAAACTACTACAGTGGCCTCGTCGTATGATCGGTGCAAGAAGTCTTGATAAAGTACCCTCGCCGACTTCAGTTGACCTCTACCAGTCCTCATAAATCGTACAGTGTCTCTTGTAAATCCTCTAAGTCAAGGCATGTTCAGTCCCGAAGACCATTTGGTTGGGAACTCATTATACTTCATTGTCACTACAGTATTGCTAGTGAAAAAAGGGCACTGCCAAATAAATGTGTTTAGTCAGGAATTCTGGTCATATAATATAGCAACCCCACTCGAGACACTCCCAACATACCTTAGACAACCAACACAGCTGATCCATGTTTTATGCTACTGCAAATGACCACTCTCGTCATCCTTCATTATCTTGTGGGTGGAGCATTTCAAGGAGTATGAAATTAACACTATCCAATCTGAAGCAATCAAACAGAGCGTAAGAATATCCTTCTTTTTCAGTGTTTATATAAGCGTGATGTCTGGCTCTTTCGAGTGGTGTCATGTTCAATTAAATTGTCAGTGCTTGATGTAATTGTTACCGTTGATATTGAAATGTTGATTTGTATTTCGCTCCACTCTCATAGACCAATCAGATCCATAAGAGTGACCGAGGTTACTTAATAGAATGGATGTGCCTGCGGAGTCTGGCAGTGATGAACCTGGAGTTTTGAAAGAGGTAAAAGTATTCGAATCCAATAATGCTTGAAGGTTGACTGCTATATATCCCCAGCTATGCAGAAGCAAATCCTATTGCTTTTGGTAGGTCATTTATATTACCTTCCTACTTAATATTATTAAGTATAAAAATCGAGAGAATTATCACACACTAGATAATGAGTCAATTAAAGAAGCTCGTATTAAGCCGAATCTTGATTTGCTTGAATTTGTTGTTGAGGATGGGCGGAGTTCTTTTGTTGAATCTGTTGGGGAGCAGATGTATGTATCTGTTTTTCTTCAATATTATCATCCTTTAAGAGACACATATTTACTTCGGTCAAACACCGTCGCATTTCCGAGGACGTTACTGGGGTACTTTGTCAATGGTAAGCCGTATATCTGTGTTTGACATGCTAGATGAATGCCACTTTATACCGCTTAAACGAGACGCTTTGGTTTTGGATACGTGTAAAGAAGCAGCTAAAGGTATGTATCTTTTTCTCGAAGTCTTAGCCATCTCTGTTTACTGTTACGTCTCTTCGAAGTGAAACTAATTCATATTATGTTTCGATAACTTGTGAGTTGGGGATATAGATCCACCACTGATTTCCTAACCAACTTTTGCCTGTACTTTAGTATCTAGTGGCACTTCAAAAGTGAGGTTGAAAGAGTACCGTTTACATTTTTTCTATATGAAGTGTCCCTCTTTTTACTTTTATTCATTTCAAATGCATTCTACTAGTTGGATATAACTTACCAAGATAATCTTATGAGCGTTGTTTTTTCATAACTACCACATCCCATCAATTTACATTCTTCCTAGATATGTGAAACTTTGGTTTGAACAATCAAGTAGTATCTAGCTATCATGTAATAATCACACTTTGAGGTGCAGCACACATGATTTATCCATTACTTAGATTACAAACTAGCACTTCGTGCTACATACGACTCGGAAGTGTAATATGGCGGGAAAGATTTAGGCCTGACGATCTAGTCTCAATTTATTGGAAAGTAATCCGCAGAACTGATTTTCTAAGCATATTTGTTTTTGTGTGAATAATCTGTCTGTAGGCTTGATGTTTTTATACGACAAATCTGGTCTGTGGATCGGCAGTTGTCTCTTGTATCACTTTATCCAAAGGGTCGTATCAATACCCTCGTTTCATGAGCAGTCATCACACGGCCACATCTTATTGTTGTAGGTCATTTTGATGACCGATATCGTATCCATTTACTGTAATAATTACCGAAATCGTTCGTTTTTCAAATTGTCCATAAGTGTTACTTTATATAGTTGCAAGCAGCCTAACAAAATGTTTTTATTGGCTTATTCTATAGATGTATTATATTTGATACGCTATATCGTTGCGTTTTTGACATTTTGAGGCACAGTTGGTGGTAGAAGTAACAGAAAATTATTTGGATCATATTTATCATAAAGAAAACTTGAGCCTTGTTGTTTACTTAGTAAATCTTGTCTTAAGTGGTATTCATTAGTTCTTAACATCTGTGAAATATGGTTTTGCGATAATGGATAATATGCATGAATTTCATGTATTTAATCAGTTATGTCTTCTAGGTGTTACGTGTGGACGAACTGCTAAATGATTAGTACTTGCGAATTCTGAGCCCTATTCATCTGAACTTGTCAACCTTCAACAGGTCTAATTGTATACACTTTATTAGAGTTAGTGTTATTCACATTAGTGAGAATTCTCAAATCCTGAAATTAGTTTATTTATGCGATTGCAATGATATTATTTTTCATCATTATGAGTACATGGACCTGTATTTGACTCATTGTACAAACTGAGGCTTGTGTTTTAAAGAATAAATAGCTGTCTAGATATTCGGCCATGTATATTGTAACCTATAGTACTCTCTATAAGCATTTTGGCATTTTTCTTACCAAAACTCACTAATTTTTCCTTTAAGTAATCCAACGAACTTTTGTCGGTTTAAGGTTATTGTTAAAAGCTAGTTTTCTCAGCGTTTTTGACAACTATTCGTCGCTTTTTTCGTTTCGGTAACGATGTTTTTTCCATCGATATATTGAGATAGAACCAGAATTTGGGCAATAAATCTCGTTTTATTACATCCATTTAAGTCATCTGCTTTGAGCTACTAATGGTTTTAAGTCGTGTTTCTTTTATAAAGTCAGTTTCTGTGAAAGATTTCTGCCTCACACAACTGACACTTTTTAAGCCTCTTCATCTGTATTGTTTCTTGGATCCTTTTATATATTACTTTTATTTAGCATTCATTTTGTAATTAGGCATCACTTACTAATTTGTTTTTTCCCTTGTATGTTGCGATTTGATGCTTTTAGTACCAGTCTCTGCATTTGTATCCTTACCTATGGAATGGACGTCATCTTTTTTTACCTATATTTTTCTTAGTTATTCGGATATCATTTATTTCATTGACGAATAAATTTTTTAGGGACTAATTTATCTATATAATTTATTCATTATTAATTAGTTAAAGATGTAGGTTTAGAATATTCGGAACCATATTTCATATAGTCGTGTCTGTTTTCTTTCATAATACTTTTCAGTTGATAAGACAAATCAGAATTCTGATTCATCAACTTCAACTCCTGTGGGTCCCGCAGCATTCGTTTCTGCCCGTCTTAGGACTGCTGATGCAATTGCACTACGAGGTCCTATGGCGAGTCGTCGTAAGCCTGCAGATAGTGATCCTGATGTTATATTTCTGAAACAACAGGTCCAAGCACCATGGTGCCCAGTACACTACAAACGATTTATTGTAGGTTCAAAATTAATAAACAATATTTTATGTGCCATTTCATAATTCAGTCTTTTGTATGAACAGTAGTTTAGCCTTACAAATAATCACTAATCAGGTGATGTGTTTAGTACTTAGTTAAGTACTTTGTATCAACGCACATGGATTTCATATCCCCTAGAAGCTCAGGGAAAATTAACTTCGAGTGAAAGTAAATACATGTTCACTGCATGGGAATCAAATCGAAAGGTCACAAAGTTTAAAAAAAAAAAGAAATTGAGTTTAGTACTAATAGTTGAAAACTTCGTGATAAATACAATTAATCATTATTTGCAAGTGGTGGGCCAGACTGGTATTAATAAAGGTAAATATTGAATGCGTACTTGTACACTGATGTCTTGATTTTTAAAACATCCAGCTTCGAGTCAACGGATTCCTAGTTTGAACCCATTCTTACATACGTATATTATAAAAAAATGCAATGAAGCAAGAACGAATGAATGAAATATTCAGTTTTTCGAGTTAGTCAGCCACAATGTAGACCGGAGTCAAACAAAGCTGCCTACTCTCCCCCTTTGTTTTTCCTCTGAATTATAAAAACCCTGACATATGACGAGAAGCACATAATAAAATGGATAGCTTGGATGCAATTAGACGATTTGGACTTCGCAGATCACCTTGCCCTTCTATCCCATACACATCAATAAATACAGGTCATTACAAAGCGTAGCAGCAGCTTCTGCATCAGTAGGCCTCAACATACACAATGGAAAAATCAAGATCCTCAAATACAACACAGAGAAAATTAACCCAATCTCACTTGGTGGAGAAGCTCTGGAAGAGATGAACACTTCCACGTACTTTGGGAACAGAAACGATAAACTAGGAGGATCTGATGCAGATATGAAGGCACGGATTGGCAAAACAAGATCAGCATTCTTACAATTGAAGAACATACTGAACACAAAGCAACTACCAACCACTACCAAAGTCAGAATCTTCAGTATGAACATAAAGACAGTCCTACCGTAAGGAGCTGAAACTTGGAGAACTACTACAACTATAATCAAAAAGGTAAAAATATTTATAAACAACTGTATGCGTAACATACTGAATGTCCGTCGGTCGGATACCATAAGCAACAGCCTACTATGAGAGAGAAAAAACCAGCTTTCAGCTGAGGAGTAAATTAGGAAGAGACTCGTAGTGGATAGGACACACTGAAGAAAACATCAAAATCCATCACGGGGCAAACGCTAACCTGGAATGCTGGAAGAAAACGGAAAAGAGAAAGACCAAAAAACACACCGTCAGTAGTTTAAAACAGATATAAAGAGGATGAATTGCAGCTGGAAAGGATTGCACAAGACAGAGTTGGATATAGAATGCTGGCGGGTTTCCTATGCCTCTCCATGGGGGGTAACAGGCGTAAGTAAGTAACCAACCACAGAGTAGGACGAGGCAAATATATGCACTGGGTCCAGTTGCCGCACCTCATTAGCACAAAAAACGAACACCGAATTCATAGAAGTAGTTACTTCAATGATAATGTATAAAAGAAAGATTTTATGTAAGGATATAATACAGGAAGAAAGAATTAGTTGGTATAAAGATAGAAAGCAATTTTGGTTTCACAGTTTAATGGAAGACAGGTTGTATACACCTACGCCATGGTGATCGATTCTGAGCCATGTCATGCAGGGTCTCCAACCATTGATTACGATAGTCACGCGGACCCCAACCAAGTAGTCTGCATCTACCAACATGTTTCGGACCCAAGTTAGTGACTGCAATGACTGATGCCACGTTTTGGTTTGACCGCCCCTAACTTTCTTCCATCCATCTCCAATACCAGTCAGGATTGCGCATCGCGGTAATCGATGTTCAGGCATACGTAACACGTGATCCAACCATCCCAGTCTATGAAGATACACAACCTCATCAACTGATTTACCATCATTCCCTAATACCTTGCGTCTAACTTCATTATTACCTGCCCGGTGATCCCAGCAGATGCGAGCAATATTTCTGAGACATCTGTGATCAAATCCTAGTAACTTACGAGTATTCTCTACTATTGATGGCCACTTTTCGCAGCCGTAAAGTAAAGCAGAATGAACTGCTGCACAGTATATTTGTCCGTTAACTGATAGATGGATATTTTGCCTTCATTATAGGCGACGTAAGTTGACAAAAGCCAAACGAGCTTTTTGAATCCGTGCAGAGATTTCGTCAGACACCAACCCATTAGAGCTGATCAGAGTTCCAAGATATGGGAAGTTGTCGACGCGTTCATCTACTTCGCTCTCTATCGTTAGTCCCGGTTTTGACTCAGGCCTTATGCTTAAAATTAGTGCTTGTTAAGAATAAACGATCGTCTGAGCACAGTTGCAGCAGACGGTCACTATTATCTATTCACTGGGGCGGAATACCGAAATACCCACCTAAATGTCCTTCTGTTTAACTTAAGCTACTTACTTGAGGATCAAAGTCACCTGCTACGAGTACTGTGTCTGAGTGCTTGACTTTTTGAAAAAGTCCAGAAAGCTTTCTGTAAAATTTATCTTTCACTTCATCCGCGCTACAGTCAGTGGGAGCGTAGGCGAAAACGACAAAAAGGCAACGATGTGTGTCCCTATTTTTTCGTGTTCTTACAGAGCCGTTTAGCCGAACACCACATAGTCTATTGTTAACAGGGATCCATTCTAAAAGTGCTTGTTCTGCCCTCATACTTGGTGCTATATCTACACCCGCCAGTTGACGAGAAGTAGCCATCGGGTCTTCAAATAAACGGAGGGTATATCTCTTCGGCTCCCCGTTTTGGTGAGGATCTTGTATGTGTGTTTCGGAGACAGCATGCATCAATGGTACGAGATTCTAGAATTTTAGCCAAGGAAACCTGGTGGCCGGTTTGAAATAGGGTGCGTACGTTGAAGGCTCCAATAAGTAGTTTGAAGCGAAGTTTCAGTAGACCTGGGACAGTGTTTTGCGCACTAGAATCGTTGGCCGTGTTGACAGTTGGGGACGAAGTTTTGAGTCGAAAGTCGATGTAGGAGGAATAATAGGAATCGAAGAGGGACACTGATTATGAATACAGTACTGTTAGAAGTATGATGGCGGTTCTCACTTCCCGGTCGCCTACACCGTGGAAGGGTTCTCCTAGAGTTACGTGAAAAGGAAATCGGGCTAGAGTCGTCCAAATTTTTTTGATCAACGAAACAAATTTGTGTCGACAGCAGAGGAGACTATTTCAGCGTACTTTCAGTCTTCGAGTTTTATTCCTAATATTCATCCAACAGTTATGTTCTGTTCTGGGTATGTATCAATTTTTACTGAAGTTCTGTCTTTGTAAAGCTACTATTTTGTACTTTTCGTAGTACTGTGGCATGTGCTAATTCTACGAACAGATATAAGTAGTATGTATCAGGAACTGGAAGTACGATGCTTACTGACAGAAGAGGAAAGTGGGAAGAGTCAAAAAAACAAAACCAGTTGGAGTAGCAACAGGAATAGAAGGAGGATGGAGTTTGTAAAAGATAATTCAAGGAAGACGTGCAAATGGTGTATTCAATGTATTGTTTTTCATATATTACAAATTCAGTGTGTGATTTTGTATAATACAATAGATTGACTTGCCCTGCCCAAGTCTTCATTCATTATAGTACAGATTAATAACATTTCTGAGATGAGTTAAGTTGCTTACTTTATGTAAAACCAAATAGCGTAACTCATATTTCTTAATAAATAGGGTGGTAATTCAGTGATTAAAGCAGTTGTATTCCAACTATTTGCTCTCAAATTCAAGCCTCTCCCTACCTAGTGTGGTTTCGGCACCTGATTATTATTCCTAGCATTCACATGAGAAGTGTAGCTGAAAGCTTAGTACTTGAATTTTCACTTTATAAATGCGTAGGTGTACCGTTTATAAATTGTACGACAGCTGTATATTCTACGAGGTTCAAGTGGTGTAAGTGTTTCTTTTAACCATTGTTGTTCAGTGTGTACTTCATTTTCACTAGACTAAAAATCCGGCTACTAAGTATTAGTAGAATGTATCTAGTATTATTTGTATCCATACATGCATAAACTTAGTTTGAGTAAGGTAAGATAAAAACCGATTATTTGGCTATAATTTCATGTTATTATAACGCTTCTGTGTAATTCATTTTATTTTATTAGCCTAGTGAAGCCTTTGAAAGGCGTATTCCTTTATTGTATCCAAATGATGATATGCCAGAATTGACTAGAAATCGTGTAACAGGTCCAAGTCAAGAAGAATATGTGAACAATTTGTTAGCTTCAGTAACACCACATGTCGTTGAGTAAGTATAAAATTATTGTGTTTTTCTTCACTTTGATTTTAATTATTATGAACACGGAACATTTTCTGTTTTGTAATTCCTTAAAGTTTCAAAGGTAATAATTAAAGATTATTTAATTTATTTGAACACATAAACATTGATACCAGGGGCACCAAATACATATGCGCCACACAATAACAATGAGGTTGTGAAGAGGTAGAGAATGTAAAGTGCATATGATAGCGTTAGCGGGACATAAATTGGAATAAAGCACATTCCGTGCAGGATTGTGTTGGTACACACTGATTGCCTAATTCTTATCTAATCAGCGCTAGTCAATACTTGGAGAAGACTCTAGAATCTTCTCTTGTAAAAAATATAAATGTACTAAAGTTTTTCTTGTTGTGCTTCTTACTTCCATCTACCTTTGTTATCTGGAATATAATATCTTTCCTGTTCAACCGTGTTCTGATTTGGGACTTGTCGAGTGAATTAGTGTCCAAGAGTACTAAGCGATAGGAATGTCTGGGTCGTAATAAGAGAAATTATAGCAAATAGAAAGAACAACGAACAGAAATTAGTGTATGAGAGTGAAATAATAAATAATAATAATGGGAGAAATAGTTCACTTATCAAAAATATAGCCAGGAATAATTCTTTCAGCTAAAGAGGTTACGTCCATTATTATGAAGAAAGTTACAGTAGGATCACCACTGGCTTCTCTGAGCCATATCTGATAACATTCGCAGCCACTGTATTGCACCACCTCTCGGGCCCCAACCAGGGAGTTGTGAAGGATCAACAAAAGCCAGTCCTGTACCGCATTCTTTCATACCACGACACCATGTCATACACTGACCACCTCTCAATGGAAGAAATATTACTTAATTCTTTCAAATATTGCTTAGTAATTTCCTATGTTGATAAAAAGACCAGTACATTAGTCTTCACTAATAATCAAATCCTACTGTTTTTGAAATATGATAAGATCACTGGACAAAGTAACACCAACATTAAATGAATATACAGAATATATGGCTTGTTCGTTATGAATATGAAGTCAGTTCTCGATACATCTATACTAATCCTTTAGTACTCAGATGGTATTTCTAGTTCGAACACGATAATTGTGTGCTATGTTCGCGACTTGATTAACGCAGAATACGGTATACAACTACGACACTCGAGCGTATAGAATCACACACTTGCAGATCAGAAGACTGGAGAAGTGCTTGTTGGGTAGGAATCAAAATGTACAGAAAATCACGGGTATTTATAGCTATTAGCGTTTGTTATGTCAACATTATAATTCAGCCAATCCGCAAAGAGGCATGTCATGCTACTATGCAATACCAGCATGCCTCGTTGAAATCATGTTCTGATTGGATGGAAACTCTTTGGCCCCTTTAGGGCCTCTGGAAGCTCCGTCGTAGTTCTCGGAGGCCGTCCCAAAAATGTGGCGCGTAGCCCATCACTAAATAATATAAATGTTCTTTCTGTTGTACTAGTCAGTCACCACTTTACAATAAATTGGATTTTCTTATCATAATTTCAGTGGGAAAATTTAGATGAAATCCCTTAGATTCGGTCTTTTATTTTTTTAATAATCTAACAAGATTAAGGTGATTCATTTCCTTACCAAGGTTTTAATTTGCATTCTCTACTGCACCAATTGATAACCTATTCATTCCCATTACTTCAAGCTAATAGGTCTAAACCCCAATAATAAAAATAGATTGTCATTGCCAATTCGTGACAGTAGGGATAAAACTTAGAGACATTATCTTCTTGTTAATTTCCTGCAAAAATACTTGACTATTCTTAAACTGTTTGATGTAGGCTATTTCACCAAATTTCAACCTTTGTGTGAGTAGTTAACTAAAAAAGGATTTTTCAGCGTAGGTTATACAGAAATAAATACTTTACCATTTTTGAGTTTATACACGAGTCTTTCCCATAGGACTAGTTTAACGTTAATCGAATTTATCGTAAATGATGACATAATGGTCTAAGCACTCTAAAATAATGAGTTGCAGGTTCGAACTCCGCTCTATACACTTTGATTATTACGTGACGGTTATTTTGGGCTCCCACAAAACAGTATGACTTAAAGCCTAGATCACATACCTGTACTTGATGTATGATGAATTCAAAAGTTGGGTACATAAATTAGCTTTACTTTCCACATTTACCAGGCAATTCTCTGTTTTACATGCCAAGTACCATCTTATAGGTAGAACATATAGATTATACCAACTTTATCCTTGTGATTTATATATTGACTAGTTTTTATACTGTTTCACCAATGCATAATATATACTTTGTTCACTTAATTTTTCAGTCGTAGTCGCACGGAGCCTGTTAAACTGCCTACTTTGGGAGAACTCATTCAAACAATAATGATAAAAGGTAATATTCTTACTGTTAGTTATATATGTGCAGAACCTTAAGTGTGATATTTTGTAGGTGAAGATATAGTTGATTTGTTTAGTTTAACAAGAATATTTTTCATTACGTTACTCTTTACGATCTTCATTTCGGTCTTTAGTTAATTATTTGTTAACCAATGGGTAAATTTGGCATGCTTTCTTCGATTGAACATTTTTACGTTGATTATAAAAGCAGGCTGGTTTTCGTTCCGGTCGAGGATGTATTGATCATATCTCCACCCTCCGCCAAATGTTAGAACACCGTCATACTTATCAAAGGCCAACAATCGTAGTGTTTCTTGACATCAGGGCTGCCTTCGATTCGTTGGATAGGACTGTTCTCTGGGATTGTCTATTGAAGAAGGGTGTGCCTGAGAAGTTTATTAACATCCTAAAAGCCCTGTATAAAAACACCTCAGGCAGAGTGAGGGCATACAACCACCTCTCTCCATTGTTCCATTCGAGCAGTGGGGTTAGGCAGGGTTGCCCAATCTCACCATTCCTCTTCAACTTTGCCATCGATGACATTCTGGAAACAGCTCTGATGGATGTAAGTAATGGCGGTGTGGATCTGTTGCCTGGGGAAAGACTTCTCGACCATGAGTATGCGGATGATATTGTCTTACTGTGCGATAATGCCCAAGCCATGCAATCCGCATTCAAACAGTTGGCAATTAGTGTCTGTAGGTATGGTATGTGCTTTGCACCTTCGAAGTGCAAAGTACTTCTACAAGACTGGCAGGATTCTGATCCTGTACTCACCCTGGATGGTGAGCAGATAGAAGTAGTCAAGAAGTTCGTGTATCTAGGTAGCTGCATAAATGTTGGTGGTGGCGTTAGTGATGAGATCAATGCACGTATAGTGAAAGCCAGAGCGGCTTATGCCAATCTGGGCCATCTTTGGCGCCTTCGTGATGTCAGTCTGGCTGTGAAAGTTTCAGATCTACAACGCGTCGGTGAGAGCAGTTCTGCCCTATACTTGTGAAACCTGGCCTCTCCGAGTTGAGGATGTTAGACGACTCTCTGTGTTTGATCATCGTTGTCTCTTAAGGATCGCTGACATCTAGTGGCAACACCATGTTAGTAATACAGAGGTTCGGCTTCATGTGTTCGGGCACAGAGATGATAATGCAATTGGTGTCCCCATCTTGAAACGCCGACTTCGGTGGCTTGGACATGTTCTCCGAATGTCGTCCCAGAGAATTCCACGTCGTGCATTATTTGCCGACTCTGGGACTGGTTGGAAGAAGCGGAGAGGTGGTCAGTGCATGACATGGTGTCGTGGCATGAAAGAAAGCTGCAAAGGACTGGCTTGTGTTGGTCCTTCACGACTCCCTGATTGGGGTCTGAGAGATGGTGCTACACAGTGGCTAGAGACGTTATCAGATATGGCTGAGAATAGAAGCCAGTGGCGATCCTGCTGTAACCTTCTTTTACTTTCTTCATAAAAGTGATTGTGTCTTCCTTAACTGAAATATTCCTTCTGATTGTACCTTTCCGTTTCCCCCATTATTACTATTATTATTATTACACTACCTTACACCAATCTGTTCGTTATTGTTCTTTTTTTCTCTTCGAATTCTCATTGTTTTGTGTGGCGCATATTTATTTGGTGCCCTCTTGTACCAATATTTATAAGTTCAAATAAAGAATTTCAACTTTTCAACCGGATAATTTTTGTTGTCTTTTAAAGTTACATCATTGTGTAAATTATTATTTCAAAATGGAGTAATCTATGTTATCTGAAATGTGATTGTCTGTTACCGTTAGTGTGTATACTTAGTGTCTACACTCAAATTTTATTGTTGTAAGTTGTAAGATTTGTTTGTTTCGACACTTTAAGTCGGCAAATAAACGAACTATTCTCATCTTGTGTTCAGTTTTTGCTACCGAATGAATTCAGTTTGGAAAATTCCATAATATGAATACATTTTACTTCAAAGTGTAAGGTACTTTGAGGAACTGTAAAATATTGTTGAGAACGGTAAATTCTAGAGAATGCTAAATATTAGGTAGAAATCCTTTTTTTGACTCACGTATTAATTTGTAGTACATTCTATTAATCGAATTCTCATCTTTCCTAATTCAATTCTGAATGACTCTCAGACTGATAAATTTTCCGACTAATAATCATTGGAATAGTTAACTTCAATGTAATTTAGTTTTCCCTGTATCTTCAGTAATACATCTTCCTTACAAGACCTCTCTTTCTTCCATCAAATGGGGTACTATTATTATTGTTAATTGTTCAGTCTATCTAGTTCACATAAATCCCATTTTTTGACTGGAAGAAATTTCATAATCGTTCGTAATCGCCAAATGCCGTTTCCATTCCACAATATACACCAATTGTTCAGGGAAGAGAAGGGTCTTAATCACGTCACTACCTTAATTAGGTATGTCAATTGTTGTGACTTTATATCCGGCTTTTTATCACGTGATTTATCCGCCAATCAAAATACGACTTATACAATCTTAGCACTGTGCCAAACCAATGACGTTCGATCGGTATGGGCAGCCTAGCGTCCTTATTGGTCCTCTGTCCGCCTAACCCGTCCACTTAAGTCCAGAACACCAATACCACCTTCTGCTATGCGGATCGAATAATTTATTTCAGACATACTGGGTTTATATATCAATCAAACAGATCGCAGCGCACCATAAAATGGGAAATAACATTTGTACACAATAAAGCCAAAAAGTGGCTGTGAACGTGGGAGGCAATAGTCAATAAACTGAACATAGCTTAAGAACCGTAAATCGTATAATGATAAATTCTAGGTCAAAATAAAGCTTATAACAAATTGAATATAGATATACATAATCTAGTTACCGAATATTTATACCATGAGAATATATAAATAATAATAGTCCATTAATAAGTCTCAGACGTTACTCGTAATGTAAGCTTCACTAGGATATAACATCAATATTCTATTCGAGCTTAGACTAACTCACAAAAAATTGTCATTTGCTCTTTCCAACTAAACCTTGTGTTAGTCGGCTTTACAGACATTTATGCATACAACCTTACCACTTCTAAACCCTTACTTTCAGTCTTTAATGTAAATATAATGTTTAGTCCTAGAAACGTATCTTTAATCTATTTTTTCGATGTTATTTCTTTCGTCATTATTTTGTAGCACAACTTATTCGATTCGACAAATTAGTTATTTGTTTACGTGAACGCTTCAACGATCCACATTCAGTTACTAATACTAGTGTTTTGCAATACTTACCGACATTTGCTGTTCTACTACGCGGATGGTGGGTCGCTAAAAGGTAATCAATTGTTTTCACATATCCATAACATGCCTTTTCTTAGTATTAATAATTATTTGAAAGTAGTAGTTAAGATACCCTATTATGCACCACCTAACTCTTATCAACAAGTTGTAACTCTGTAGGATTTGAACCATGGTCACTTCCATGCAATAATAATAATACGCTTTTATTTTTAATATTTAGTATTAATTTATATAAATATTCGTCAATATTTGAATGAATAATTCCACAGAAATTAGGCACTCAGTGTATTTGAAGACATTATTTATAAAAATTATATTTGAAGTAATCTCAGCGATTGGATTCTAGATATTTTTCTGTATTTGTCATGTATTTTATTCTTCCAGTGAAATACTTTATCCTCCAAATTCATTCAGTGAACATAGTGGTACACCAAATACACTATTGATTCGGGCACGTGATTATATTGTAAGTTTCATTTTATAATATTCTATTCCTTTAAAACTCTAGATGTTTATATTGGAAAAATAGAAGTTACGGTAGAGATTATTTGGTACAACGATAAGTTACGTCACAAACTGATTATCTAGACAACCATTGGAAACCAGGAAGCAATGGACTAGTGTTTTGTTCCAATATAGTACACCTCAGCAGTAGACATCTATAACCCTATCGAGAGTTGATATCAAAATGTGTAGAATTCTGAGTTAGCGCTTCATCATCTATCTAGATACATAGTACTAGCTTATATAGGTTTGTGATTCAGAAGACATCTGAATAAAGATAAGATTTAAGTCTTGACAATTTTTCTCGAAGAAAATTCATTACTTATTGTAATATTATTTCATTTTTGTGGATATCCGCTTCTTGTACTACTCTTGAAGCATGGTTTACATCAAGCTATTTCTATGGTGAAATTCATAAGATGACTTCGTCAACTACATTTTTTAACAGTTTAGTAGAGTTACGTTTTTCTTTAATTTGTTGTGTATTTAATTTATATTACTAGATTTAAAAATATCAGTTTCTTTGTCAACATCCCTCTATAACTATGTCCGTCAAGTTGCTGGCAACTTTTAATTCTATTGATGATTACTTCTTATTGAGTTGTTTGTTATCATCGATCTATGGCCAGATATGAACCGTTGTTCAAGTGAAATGGATCGAGCGATATCTCTCTGGTCTAATTACTTCCTCGTTTCCTTATTCGATTATGCACATGATATTAAAGCTACCAATTTCCTGAGAAGTATTTGATTTGAACTAATACTCAGTGTTTTTTCATCGACCTGGACTGTGTGTAGATGGCATGTGTCTCTTTCTTTAGATTTCAAATATATTTTGGTTCATTATCTACTTTAATTATAGAGAATTTATAAGTTGGAAATCTAATGAGTTAGTGGATGACACCATCTCGACAAAAATATAATATACTCGAACTGTGCCAACTTGTCTCATCAAGTACACAAGCAGAATATCCACCTACCTATCCAGCGGTCAGTAGTTTGTAGTGTATTACTTCGCATATATAAACGCAGAGAGCGTGTATAAGTTACAAGTGTTGAATCGTAAGTTTCGTCTCAGCATTATTCTTCACTTATAGTGAGAAACACTAGTTTCAAATGTATAATACTGGATAAAATTGCTAATTTGGTTAATGATGTCGGGAATCTTCATCAACTGAGCCACTTAAAATATTTGTTACTTATGTGTCTATCAACTGTCAATCACAAAGTACTATATTGTCTTGCATAATCATATGAAGCTTTTTTTGGGAAGTAACTTCAGTTGAATGTTTATTAACCAAGTATGCCTGATTTATACATAATTTATCCTCACTACTGAGCAAGTTCTCATTGACTTGTATCGCTACAATAAGCTTGTCCAGTTATAAAGTGTCATTTGTCATACTTTAACTTAGCTTATCTATCATTCAGTAGCATGATAATTTAGATAAATTTTGAAAACAATTCTAATTATAGAATGAATCGATGCACATTTACTTATTTTTATAAATAATCTAACTAGAATGAATTATTCTAACGCTCTATAATCTGTATAAATTTGTATATATTATATGTATATCTCTGTCGTTTCTTCTTAGATGGCTGTATTTCATCGCGGTGAACATTTAACTCGTAAAACTATTTCATGCATGACTAAAGTAGGTCAACTGGTAATTTTTATAATGTTAATTTTGACTCGATAGAAAATCTAATTAAAATATTGAGTGAAATTGATACAGAGCTTGAGTTTATGAAAACAAACATATGCAAGCCTAGAATAATAAAAATATATAGCAGAACTTTGTCGTGAACAATGTGATCTTAAGTACTGTTACAGATATGTGAAAAGTTGACTTTTTCAGGTTGCCCACACCGTGAAAGAATACTTCCTCCTGAAGGGCTTGAAGAAAAAGCTGACTTGCTGCTGTTCTTAGAGATCTGAGAGGATAACTGTAGAGTATAAGAGACAACTGCTTAAGGCTGGTCATACCTGCACTTTTAAGATTATTTTTTGGTAAGTTAATTCATGACTTCAAAGACTTTATCTTTAGCGATGGAAATTCGTGAGACAGTGTGAAGTGTACTATTTCCAAGGACTAACATTTATTTATTTATTGTAAGATGGCAGTATTACTATAAATGCTAATTGTCTGAGTAATGTACGGTACTACTGAGACACCTTAGAACAATCGGCAGTATGAATTTGCTGTTTTTAATCTTACCATTCTCTGATGAACTTACTGGAGACAGTAAAACTTTAAGGGACAGTTTTTTCATTCAATACACTTCGTTTAAGTCATTGAGGAAGAAATGTCGAACCATCATGCCAAGGTAGCAGCTATGGTTAAGATTTGAATGTGGGTTTAATACATCTAAATGATAACAATTCATATTATTTATCCTATTAATATTTTTAATCAATGTTCATTTCCATTATTACATGAGATACTTTCCTATCCCGATGGTCTGGAATTCTTCATCTGTCTTAAACCAGCAGCATCTTTTAATTTTTTTGTTCCCAATTTAAATTTCATCACTTATTTGAGCACATAAATATCGATACAAATGGGCTTCAAAATATATATATGCGCCACACAAAGTAGTTGTCATTAAATTTGTGTTTAGGCTGTGGTATTATTTAGGTGCCCAAACCGATACAGATTATTCTCTTAAGGCGCCACACCCTATGCTTTTGACTTAAAGATCTAATCCACAAGGTAATGGAGCAACATTAGGAGATGCGATCGGATGGTTTTCAGTGACCAACAATAGTTTCATACACTATTTGTTCCTGGAGCTCATGTACACTATTGGTTTGGAATCGGACTTTCTTCAACCACCTAGGCGGATCCACCGTACCAACTGAGTTTAAGCGCCAGATATCCGATTCTTCTCCTCAATTTTGTAAACAACACCCCTGTTACGTGAAAGCAATGGGGAAGATTTCCCTGACAATCGACCCACTTGAATAATATACTTGATATTACTCTACTCCATCAGTTGTATTGATGTTAAAGTTATTAGTTCTCAAAACAGTAAAGTTACTGTTTTAAAATGCTTTATTTGTACGCCAATTTACTACTATGGGACTAAACCATAAGTACCATTGTGCAATTGGTTGTGGGTGTGTGTTTGGTTTTTTCTTCAAAAAAAGGAAACTAATCTAAAATATTAGATAGTTGGAAGTAGTCGACAGGAAACTCTATGCCTACAAGTCGTACTAGTTGGCACTCGTAAGGCGACCGTGCGTACCCGTTATATTTAGGGAACTGATGCTCTCTAATGCATCCAAATTGTCATCACTAATTTATTGCCTATGTTAGTTTCACACTTGTACTTTATTCAGAATAATTTATTAAAAATACAATTTGAGCAAAGAATTGTTTTTTTTTCAATCAGTTCCTTGTTATGATCATGCTAAAATATAGATGTTACACTTACGTTGTTAAGGTATACACTTTTCTCCGTATTGACTAATTCACTGTTATTTTGTGTCTAGTTACAGTTTGTTAGTAGATAAAATTCTGTCATTAAATAATCGGTATATGAATAAATTAACCTGAATTTAGATTAGTTCTTTATCAGAAATACTTCTCTGAGAATTAAACTTTTCATTTTAGATAGAGGGCAGGAAATATGCGAAAAGTAGCATTCAATTTTCATTATATTAAAATTGGAGTTGCAAATAATTAACTTAGTGCACAAACATAACATAAGTAAATTATCATGTAGACCAAATGAATAGTGATGAATCAATTTAACTATTATATCTCGATTTATTAAATTTTAACTTATCTGACTGCTTTGTAACAAATACTATTTTTGATTGACATCATGAATCGATCGATGTTGAACTACCATCGAAAACCTGGAGGAGTCCCATACAAGGACGAGACGGCCGTTCAGTGCTTCTATGTTCTCAGTGGTGGTCTAACATCTATTGATTCATGATCTCAATCGAAAACTTAACAATCTCCACAGCCCCATACTGATAATACTACTTTTACTACTTACACTTTAAACATATCTCGTTTGTGAGTATTAGTTTAGAGTTTCGGTGTTTTTCTCATTGAATTAAAGTTCACAAATCTTTTCTATTCTAAGTTTAAATTTTTGTGTTTAATTAGCCAGTTGTCTATGCATTAATTATGTTTTGTTGTTGTTGTAATATTTAGGTGCCTACTGTTGAGGCTACGGAAATACTGAAATCTTTAGCTTGTAAAATGTCAACTACTCAGAAAGGTTGTGCAAATCATTGGGAGTTTTATCCGATCGATTATGATTTTATCAAAAAGTAAATACTTAATTACTCTGCTTCGTTTTTGTTTTATTCGTTTAACGCTCGTCTCCTCTACGTCGTCGAAGTTAAATGATGTTTATCAAATGCACGAGCTTTCCATAATTACCGATTGTACGTTGGTTGATTATCAACAACATATATGGCTTTGCGAAAATCTTATATTCAGGGTCAAGTTGGCACAGGTCACGTGCACTTACTTACGCCTGTTACTCCTAGTAGAGCAAAGGACGCCGACCATCATTCTCCAACCCACTATGTCCTGGGCCATCCTTTCTAGTTCTATCGAGTTGTTGTTGATTCTTCTCATATCTGTCTCGATTTCTCGCCGTAATGTGTTCTTTGATCTTCCTCTTCTCCTTTGGCCTTGAGGATTCCAAGTCATGGCTTGCCTTGTGACGCAGTTGGGTGCTTTCTCCAACATGTGTTCTATTCACTTGCAGCGCTTCCTCATGACTTCTTTCTCCACTGGGATCTGGTTTGTTCTCTCCCACAGTAGGTTGTTGCTGACAGTGTCTGGCTAACGAATCTGAAGTATTTTGTGTAGACAACTGTTAATAAACACTTGTATCTTCTGGATGATGGCTTTCTCAGTTCTGCAATTTTCCGCCTCATACAGTAGAACTGTCTTGATATTTGTATTGAAAAGTCTGACTTTGATGTTGGTTGACAGTTGTTTTGAGTTCCAGATGTTCTTCAGTTGTAGATGTGCTGCTCTTGCTTTGCCAATCCGCGCCTTCACATCTGCATCAGATCAACCGTGTTCATCAACGATGCTGTCCAGATATGTAAAGGTTTTACATCTTCCAAAGCTTCTCTGTCAATTGTGATTGGATTGGTGCATGCAGTGTTGTATCGGAGAATCTTGCTTTTCCCTTTGTGTATGTCGAGACCTACTGCTGCTGATACAGCTGCAACACTGGTCGTGTTCTCCCGCATTTGTTGTTGCGTGTGTGATAGAAGAGCCAGGTCATCTGCGAAGTCTAGATCGTCCAGCTGCATCCTCGTTTTAAGAGTCCCTTGAAGTTCTCTACCCACCTGTTTCTGTTGTTTCATACGACGGTCTTATGTTTCCTTCTCTTGCAGCCTTTTTCACCGTCATTGTTATATCTTCCACATATTTACGTTTGTCGGTTCTGATGCTCCTCTTCACTTGCTTGTTTACTTTCGTGTTTTCAGATTGTGCCTTGGCTTTCTCTGCTTCTGTTCGGCTATTGTCGGTTGCTGCCTTCTTGTTCCTCCTTTCTTGAATTATATCCAGTGTATCAACAGTGGTCCATCCCTTGTGACCCAGGACCTTTTGACATGTTGAAGTGATCGCCTCCTTGATCCACTTCCAGTTACTGTCCATAGTAGTTCCCTCTCCATTGAGTAAATCGTGGAAGGCCTGGAACCTGTTGCTGAAAGCTATTCTAAATTTGTTGAGTTTGTCAGAATGTGATGTTGTCTACCCCGTTGTCCAGTGCTTGAGTTTCATTTTCATCTTGGCGATCAGCAAGTGATGATCTGATGCTATGTTAGCTCCTCTCTTGGTTCTCACATTCATCATCGTCCTCCTGAACTTTTTGTTGGTGTAAATATGGTCGATTTGGTTCTTTATAGTGTTATCCGGTGAAATCCTTGTGGCTTTGTGTATGCGTTTATGTGGGAATATAATGGCGCCTATGATCAGTTTATTGAAGGCATATGGATTTGCAAATCTCTCACCATTTTCGTTTCTTTCTCCTGGTCCATGTCGTCCCATGATGTCTTCATATCCGGTGTTATCCATTCCAACCCTGGCATTTAGGTTCCCATCAGAATGGTCAAGTCCTTTGTTAGGCATTGTACGATCATTCCATTTACCTAAATAAATGATTGCTCTGGTTGTCAGAAGGGGCATCGGCCTCGTGACTTTCGAAGGAACTCGGCTTTCACCATGAAGCGTCATAACTCTTCTAAATGAAGACGCTCTAATTCCTAGGGCAGAGTTTAAATAGTTCGAATTATTTTTTCAGGTTAACTTTTTTAACGAGTTAGTTTTCTACGGGATGGGGTCGTTATCCCCATGCCCAACTCTCCTCCTTTATCCGGGCTTGGGACCGGCAATAACCCCAGAGGAGCTCCAGGAGGAGTTAGGTCACGAGCACAATTATAAGGAATTAACATGATGCAAGATAGATCTGTGCTACCCATTAGTAACTCATTTTTATCGTACTATTTTTTCCTAATATTTCACTGGTTAATTATAAGTTATCTGTGTTCCCCTGTCGGTTGCGATATTTTTATTTATCCGGCCATGTTGAACTGGTCATCTTGTGCTTTCCTATGCTAAAGATTGAATATTACTACTGAATTTATCTCCTTCAGTGTGAGCTACTTAACGTAAGCTAATAATTGTTTATTTTAGAATCACGTACTATCTATATTTATGTATCTATTAGCATTCCAAAAAATCAAGGGAGTCTTTTAACTTTGACAAGCCTCAGATGTGTTATTCCAGTGAGTTCAACACATGATGCGTAATAAGAAGAAGTAATTTTGGTGTCTAAAAAAGTTTTAAAAAATGTTAAATATACAGAACATAATTCAAAACGAAGTAATAAAAATGCATGAATTCGTCTACATTATTGAAATTGATTTTGAACCACATCACCCATAGCCTCTAAATATTGATAATAATTATCCTATAGATCCTTAGAGTGTTTTTACCAATCATGTATCATGTCAGTGAAATTGTGAACATCTGCTATTTTAAAAACTATACGCAGTGTCCGTGGTGTGACTTTCACATTATCTCTTTTGGCATTTAGTCAAAATTGTCTAACCAAATATCTTTTCTCAGCCTTATTTTATAGACAAAACCAAATAACTTAATTTTACCCACTAATTTGTGATTTTGTCATGTTATCATCTCAATTTTGTTCGTTCATGCAAATTAAGAGCGTTTGATTATAAAGTTCGCTTATGGTGAGTTTGTTCTACGTCTTTCAGACGATTGACTTCATTAGTCAATAACACAAATGATCTTTAACAGCTACGAAAGAGGTTAATGACTATCAGTTCACGCAGCTGCTTCTATTGTCAGTACCCAGTTAGAACACGAAGACAGCAAGCAAACTTACCGCCTATGACTGTATTGTCATTCTGACTTAAAAACCTGTAGAATTATACACATCAGTTGCATGACTACAACATGCCGCGAACAAGAAATTACACTGTGTACATAACTAGGTCATATAGGAGATAAAGTACCAAACAATTATGTCTATAATTCACGATAGTACAAGAACCGTAAACCATTTAGTTAATGATTGAAATGAAAACAGTATAAAATGCAATAACCGCTGTATTTGTATATAATGTTTGTGAATTAAGGCCATATCGAGGCAATACGCACAGTATGCACATACACCAATAAGAGACTAATCATTTGCAGTCCTAAATATCAACGGGAAGATTCGGACAAACAATACCAATTGAATTTAAACTTCACCCCATTGCACAAGCAAGTGGCTATCAGGACTCACTAGCTAACTGGATAACGCGATGGAGTTTGAAGTGAACAGTACTGAGTCCGAGAGCCCCAGAGTGAACATCAACTCTGAGGTGCAAGTACATCCAGCTGACGGGTCCCGAATAAGTCGAAACGCATGTCCTGGATTCCACTGCTAGCTACTATCCATCTTCGCATATATTCCTTGTATATAATGGTTTGCACAAGCAAAATATCTACCATAATTCCCACAATATAACATGTCGAATTATATTTTTATTACTAATATTTATTAATTGCATAAATGCGACAACTTATAGGATTTCAATCGTTGTCAGTATTTATTCTTCGTTAAGTGTGTATCTTTACTTTTTGTTTTTTCGAAAAAGTTTTTCAAGCGTAAATCGACTACGCTCACAATCTGATTTTTCTTCCTTCTCTCCCTCTCCATCTCAGATATCCAGATATTGTACAACAACAACAAGTTGCTTGGGAAATTCGCATTCGTCAATTATGCACACAATTAAAACTAGAACATCTCGTATCGGGTATGCCTTAGTTTAATATGCTTCACGCATATACAGTTTTATATATAATACACAATATTTGCACTAAGTAGTAAGTAACGTTATCTCTGTCTAGTCGTTAGCGTAGATTGAATTCCACTTAATATGCAGTAGTGTGGATTATGTGAAGTAGGCACTTTAACTAATGACCACAACTTGATTGATACAATTCGACCAGTACGAAAAGTAAGTAAATATATCACTGGTTATTTATAGGCAATTGTTCAGTACAAATATATCAGTCCTACAGAGAAACTATTTGTACTATGAATATTAGAACAACACATATAAGCGAACAATTGTTTTCAATTAGATCGTCATCAGGCTTTACTCTAATAAATATATAGCTGAAGCCATTGGAATTCGTACATATAACCCCAATCTATGTGTACAGAAGAAATACGTGACTCCTCTATCCCTTCCATGGCCAGTTATAACTTAACTAACAATTTTTTATTTTTTATTTTAAATTTTATTATTATCATTATTTATTTTATTCTATTTGTGTTATTGTTAACCTTATTTCCACATCCATTATTTGTTTGTCATTATCCGCCTCTTTGTATTCTTCACTATCTAATTATTTACACACATCTTATTACGTAATGATTTTTAAGGTTTTGTGATTACTATTCCTAGTCTATTTACCCATGTTTATTTGACCTTCTATTTCCAACGATTAACTATTGATAAGAGTTTTGTTATTATAGTTTATTATTCTTACCACTATCTGTTCACCTGTCTTCGTACTATCAACTTGTACTTTTACCTATTTTATGTGTAGTGACTTATTCTATTTCATTGTGATTATTGACTCATATTGCCTTGATTGGTTTAAAATTTTCGTATAAATATCCATGTTTATTAGAGTAAAGCCTGATAACGATCTAATTGAAAACAATTGTTCGCTTATATGTGTTGTTCTAATTTTCACAATGGGAATCTTTAATATACTATGAATATTGCCCAGTGATGACGTCTCTGACTACTGAGTGACACGAATTTGAATCTCACATGGGGAATTAACTTTATTAAGAATGTAGATAAACTTTGATAACGAGCCCTAGGTAACACTGAAGTTCTGACCTTCCAAATACCTAAAGTTTTTGAATAAAATGTAATGTTAATTGTTAAGCGAATGAGAATATATTTATTAAGTGATGTTTATGTTCTGCTTCTTAATTATAATTCACAACCCATCACAGGAATTACCGAAAAAATACTTGGAAATAAATTAATTTTGCCTGTCTAGTTTGCAAGATCATGCACTAGTTTCCCAGCTGCATTTTTCACTTGAGACATTTAGAGGTAATAATTGGTTAGTCCAACTAGATTTGATTAAGCCATAGTTCACACGTATTGTTTATAGATGTAGTAATGTTATGCTATGTCAGTAATTGGCCAAGTACAAGTTTATGTATTTAGCTTCTAGCCACATTGTTTGTATGAGAATTAATGCCACTACTGAAATAAAAGGGGTTGCATTCGTACCTGCAACTTGTTGATTTGAAACTAATAGTTTGACCCGACCCATCCATGGAAACAATTGATTTCGTATTAGTTTGTTTTTTTATAAGTATGTGTTTCGGTATCAATATGCGTCATCATTACGTCATTCAGTCGGGAATTTTCTTATCGCTAGCACTTTGTTGTACATATTTTTCATTTATGTAGTGAGTGTTAATGGCATATCCATTTTACACTGCACTTTCCTTTATGTGATTTTTATTACCTTTTTATTTTAAGATGGAGTTCGACGTAAACGTAATCCTGGACAACATTCTGGTGAAAGTGGTTCAGATTCTGACAGTGGCTTCAAATCACTTGTTTCAGGAGTACATATTTCAACCCCTAGTAAAAATACAAATCGTAAACGTTTACGTCAATCAAGTGTATGTCATACAACAGATACTGATAAAGATGCCAATAATTCATTAAAACCACCTGATCGGAAACGTGTACGAACTCAAAGTCTTTCATCGAGTTATTCTTCTGGTTTATCATCTCCTCATTCTACTACTACAAAATTACCTTGTCTTCAAACAGATGTTGTATCGTCAAAATTTTGTATACCCACTAGTCCACCACCTGTGAAAATAAATTCTCCGAAACTAAAAGTAAATAGTACACCTATTTCTTCAGATCTTCCCGATAATTCATCAACTGCATTATCAACAAGTAAGTTAAAGTAATATATATAGCGATCTAAGCTACTAAAATTTAAGCCAGAGAAAGGTGTATGTGTGTAGATTGTCACACGTAGTCATGCCTACATGTTCATCCACACATAATAATAATAATGATAAAGAAATGGATAAATTATTGCTATTTTTTTACAACACTGTCTGTTAAATAAGTTAATCGAAGGGCTTGACAAAATTAACCGTAAGCAAACTTAAGTGGAAAAAAGTGCTATCTTTTGCTGTAAGTACTCCGTTAGAACATTTATTGATTTCAGTTCGATTCATTTTCGTTATTTTTTTTAAAACAGATTCATTTAATAATCAGACAGTTGGTTGCAAACTGGAACCTCCTACTCCTGAGGATCGTGATCCAGATATCCCTACTGCTGCTGCCGCGGCTAGTCTTACTGATTCAGAAATGAATGAACTCAAGCTTAAACGTTCTCCATCATCCCATGATATATCTCAATCAGCTATCATGGACAACGGTCACAATGATACCAATAGTAATACTGAATTATCTAGTCAAACAGATCTTACTAGTAATCATATTGGTTTACCATGTACACCTTTACAATCTGTTAATGATACTAATATAGACAATAACGACAGTGTTTTAAAATTTGACAGTGACAATGAAATGCCAGAATTATTAATGAATAATTCAATTAATTTTGTAAAAAATGTTTTAAATACTCAACCAATTGTAGCATTGTCAGCATTGACAAAAGTCTATCAGGTTAGAAATAATATTTCCGTTATTGTTTTGTTCCGTTGATTCGCTTTTTTTCGTTGCTTCCTTTTATTCTTTTCTATAGTATATACTAAAGAGAAATATATCAGTTTAAGGTATTATAATTAACAGTATTCTTAAGTAATTTTTTTCTTTATTGTAGTTGAAATATACACATATGTAGAATGTTAAATATTAACCAGTTCCAACCTTAAAATGTTTGAGTACCATACAACCTAGTTTTGTGTTAAATAATGCAGATTAAAAATGTCAACGTAACACGACTTTCTTTGATGTTACCGACTAAGTATGAATTCTGATTTGAAGGCATTTTATCGGTTAACAGTAAAAAATGAATTTGTGTGATACAATCATCACACAACTATAAAAATATCTAAATTGAATTGAGGGAGAAGCTTTGATGATCCTTTGAAAGTAGTAGTAAAGCTCATGTACCTGAAAAGCTGTGGGAGTCTCTGTGGCAGTGTTGCAGATGAGCTTAATCTGTACATAGTACGGGATAAATCCCCATATAAGATTCTTAACCACCTTTATCACGATAGCGTCATTTGCATGTCTTTGAATAATCAAATGTTCGATTCAGTAATATAAGCGTTTTTGTAATTCGCTAATGAGATTCGATCTATTCAAACTGAGGTTGTCAGTTGTTCGTTATCGCCTAACGATTGCTAATCTTCGACAGCTAAATCATGTAAGTTCCAATGTGATGCAGTGCGAAAATTTGTCTGCTAATTATTCAGTACATTTTAACATATTGAAACACTTTTTTTAGTAACTCGGTTACACTTTATGTTTTTTGTTCAAGTGGTGGAGCATGATCTACCGATTTTAGTCTAGTTGTAAAAGGCAAAGAGGTGATCAATATATAACATATTGTATAGTGGGAATGATAATTGTATTATGTTAACAAATGTTGATTTATCGCAACTCCCTTCTTGGGCCATGCAATTAGATAGCTTTAAACGTTATCTAACATAGTTCAGAATATACACCAATAACCACTGTGGTCTAATATTTGTTAACCATCGTTGTCGTCAGTATTGTTTTTTTCCATTGTCACAAAGACATATTTAAGAAGTCTTTATTGTTGTTTGAAAGTTGTTTGCACTAGATCTTCACTAAATTTCAACCACTTATATTTATCAATAACATATTACCAAACATATAATGATATCCATAAAACATTATTTATTTAAACACATGAACATTAGTACAAGGAGGCACCAAACAGATATGCACCACATAAATCAATCGATTTGTGTGAGGGCTATGATACTGCTCAGGTGCCAAACCGAAGCAGGTGGTTTTCTTAGGAGGCCACACCCCGAGCCTTTGACCTAAAGGTCTAATCCACAAGGCAGTGGAGCATCGTGAGGAGATCCAGTTCCATGGTACCCGGTGACCAACAATTGGTTCATACGTCATTTGCTTCTTTAGGATCCTGGAGCTCATGTACACCATTGGTTTGGAACCAGTGTTTTCCAACTCCTCTAGGTGGATCCTCCATATCCATCAACTCGGTTGAAGCTACGGACATTCGCTTTTCGTCCTCTCAATTTCTGACTGGTGGACTGGTTAGTTTGTCTGGCAAGGCTTTCTTATAACATACAACTCATCAAGGGTTAAATCTTGAATTGATGCGAATGTAGGCGTCAGAATTAGAATAAATAAAGAATTGAGTTGTATAAAGAGTTAAAAACTATTCTACAAAGCCATTAAAATTTGTATCTCTGTTGGCGAGTTTTAAGCATTATTTATTAAAAATAAGAACTTCACAAACAGCTTAGCTAAATGACGCTTCAGAATCATATCTTACTAAGTAATTATACTAGTATTGTGAATTATTAGCGCTTTGGTACATATAGCTGTCTCTTGTTGCCCATCTTTTATTTCCGTAATTCACCGTCATTTTGTTGTAAAAAAATGCACATCGTTGTATACTTAACCCATGATCACTATTCACAAAGTCATAATTTTATTGAACAGTTGAATAACAATTTAGCATTCTCTGTCTACATCAAAATTTCTTTGTGAACCATTTTGTCCCTCTACTCTTCTTTATAGAGACTAAATGTAAGATACTGAAGTATGTGTCAGTATGAACACCATGCAGTGACGAAAATTACTCGTTATATATCATATCTATAAACTTAATACGTTTTAACCTCATTTGTTGCCCATTACAACGTTCTTACGAATCAATTAAGTTATAATTATAATTTGACTAGATTTTTTTTTCCGAAATGATATAATAATAACTTATTTGTAATTTTTAGTTTATATCAGGGACTGACCCATAGCTAGATACCCAATAAAGACAAGAAAGCACTGGACATCTGTTTCGTCCTAGTATAGGACTCGACAGTATTCATCTACGGATTCCACCTGTTGTTTTGCGGCAAACTTCGTGTACATCCGACGTTTTACATTCCTAAATTCAATCCAGTGCGTCATGCTGTTCAGTAGTTATCTAACTAGTGTCAGTCCATTATCTTAACCGCGAAATTCAGTAACATCCTTAAATCGTACAATATATATGTTTATTTATTTATTTCAGCAACAGTTAGGTAATTTTGATGCAAATTTCTATTCTACACTTTGGAAGAATAGTCCACCACCTCCTCCAGGCTCTGAAAGTGAACGTGAATTGTTAAAAACGTATCTTTTGAAAGTTTTACAAACAATTGATGCACGTCAGTTAACAGTTTGTTGGCCAACTATACCAACAGCACTTGAAAAAGAACCATTATTTGTAATAAAAGTAGCTGGTCCAGAATGTGGAGCTGTCAGTGAATCAATAGCACAAGTAAAGTGTTGTGTCAATCCATACTTTACATTTTTTCCTTTTTTTCCTATCTCGAGAGGACCTTTGACGTTAAATTTCAAATACCCCTCTAAACTTTGAAGACTTCACGCACACTTAAATTGATAACTCTCAGATTTGAAATGCCAAGAAAAGAACAAGAGAAAAAGTGAACCGACAGTGCAACACCCATACATAATGCACTTATATTTAATGAGGAAACCGATTTACAGCAATTAGAAGTAGTAAAACAGACTGAAGATCAAACATACTGTTGAAATCCCATAATGTTTGTACTATTCGAGGTCTTGTAATAAAAACAGTGCTAAGGGTCATTTCCTGAAGGAAACACATTGTCACGACTTCGCACTCCGACTGTGAATTTGCTGATTTTAATCGCACGATTCCCCAACTGACTTGTCTTAGATGGTAATATATGTCTACATATACCAAATATAGTTTCTTATATTACATTCTTTTGTGTTAAGGCTAACAATACTGCTCGTTGACTCGAATCAGAGCAGGTTGAATGGAGTTCGAATCTCCTAGAGGTTACTGAAACAAATACACATTTCTTTTCATATGAATTGGTTTGCTTTAAGTTAAGTCGTGAACTGATTGATTATTCCAAGTCGTCAAATATTCATCATAGCTGAGACGTTCAACTGATAATTCCATAAGTAAGTACCGTGTAGTTCTTCTAATTCAAATTCATCCATTCATAGAGAGAAATTTGTCAGTTGAATATGTATTCTTAAATAATAACATTATTAAAAACATTTTTTCATAATAATTGTATTTCTAGTTCCGTGATACAATCCTAGCACTTTATGAATCTTTGCCAAGTTTCAAAATGAAAGATTTACAAGAAAAATGCCCAATCTTTCCACCAAAAGGCATGTCTGAAAAAGCTATGCGAACATTCATTAAAGTAAGTAGAGTTATATTGTGATTGTATTTTTATGATTTAAGTTACATCCTTCTTGTCTTTCCTAACCCTTGATTTATTTAATTACAATATTTTCATTTCATGATAATTCTCCTTTCGTTTGTACAAAACTCGGTACTAATAATGTGAAACTGATAACTAGTATCAGATGGTCTCCTTATTCAGATTAGTTCTTCTCTATTGATTCAGGCAAAATGTATCCCTAGGAAACAGTGATTTTATAATCTAACATTTCTATTTATCACTTGTCAGTCGAACAGTTACTATTATTTTTAGGATAATAAGTGGGTTTCCGTATGATACTGTTTGAACCTGTGTCTTTCATATACATATTCTTACTACTGAAATATTTACTAGTAGGCTAATTATGCCAACTAAACTTTACCGGCTATCACAATTCAGTAACCCGTATGCTAGTTCCTTATAGGATTTTTTCGAACGAGTGTACGTTCATTAGTTAACAGAAGATTTTCGTTTAGAATGTGATGAAATTTGGAAGTCGATCAGGGTTATAAGAAGAACGGGAGAGGAGTAGCTGCGAATCTAGTTACACTGTAAGACAAATATCCTAAGGAAAAAATAACTTAGTCGGTTCTATTTACAATCCTTTATCTTTATATATAATACAAAGCTAATTAATTGAAAGTTTCTGTAATTAACTCTGAGTGACAAGCGTCTTTTATATTGATGGCTAGTAGTACTAGCTAGTCGCCAATTTGACTACTCTTTTTTTCATCATAAAATAGTTATTTAAATACTATTTCTTATATTTTATACCACTTATGTTTAAAAGTACAACTGAATTTCGTATTATTTTTCCTGTATTTTTCATCAAGCAATACTGTATATTCAGACATGGAAGATACTTCCTACGTTGTACTGTTTCTGACGATTAATCTTTTTGAATAATCACTTGGTGAGTTACTGTACTTTCTCATACATTTTCTTTATGTATACACACTATATATATATATATATATATATATATATATATATATATATATATATATATCATTATGTTATTCATGCAAGTATTTTTCAAAATAAATTGATTTGAGATTCTAGGTTAAAACGGTTCTATTTAAATGAACCAATATTATGGTCGTCGGTTATAACTCTCTTCATTATTGTGTTCTGTCTGATTCAGTTGCTTACACACATCTAACGTTTTATCACTCAGCAGAGTGAATGTTTGTACAAATCACTCGAAAAGATTTATCATGTATTATATTATACACTACTTTGTGGTAAAAATTATTTATCGAACTTTTTCTAACTGTGACATGAATGTTGATTTTGGTTTGGTGAACAATACTTATAATAGCCCGTCTACTTTTCCATCGGTTATTCACCATGTAGCCTTGAAACAGCATTTTAGCCGTTCAGATTGTCTGATTTATCAGTAATCAAAGGTTTTCAAAATAATGACAACTTCATTTTAGGACGTTCTCATCATTAAGACTAAGCGTTTTTACATGTTACAATATATTTCTCAACTTCATTCGTATCTGGTACGGCCGAGAGTGGGGTGTGTCCGCTCTCCCTCTCGAAATGCTCTCACATGGCCACGCGTATACAGCCTCTGTCAGGGACGTCCTACTCACTGCCTTCTCGTGGCGAGGGTGTTGGCTACGAAAATGAGAGGATAAAAAGCGAATGTCCGACGCTTTAACCGGATTTCAAATCAATGGTGCACATGGGCTCCAGTATCCTGAGGGAACCAATGGCGTATGAACCAATTTTCGGTCACCGGCTACCATGGAACTGGATCTCCTCACGATGCTCCACTGCCTTGTGGGTCAGACCTTTAGGTAAAAGGCTCGGGGTGTGGCCTCCTAAGAAAACCACCTGCTTCGGTTTGGCACCTGGGCAGTATCACAGCCCTCACACATATCGAATAAGATTTGTGTAGCGCATATATATTTGGTGCCTCTTTATACCAATATCTTTGTGTTGAAATAAATAAATAAAAATAAAAATATCTTTGTTAATTTCTTATCACTGTGTTAAATTTTCCTGGTGACTTGTGTCGATATATAATTTTTACCTGGTTCCATATCATTTCATATCTGACGGTCTGACTGTTATTATACCAAAATGACAAAGCATATTTTGTTGATTATTAAGCAATACTAACTAACTGTTTCAATAATTAACTGTAAACCCATCTTACAAATTAATTAATAGTAGCAAGAGAATTCTAACGGCAGTATTCGTTTATCATAATGTCATATTTTGTACAGAGATGCTGGTTGATACTGTTTGTTTATTTAATGTCTTTACTTCTTTGGTTTTGTTTTAAGTTTTTACCCGCGCTTTTTAAATTTTTTTCTGTTCTTCGTTTCCAGAAAGAATTCAAATGGATTATTATCATTATTATTACTTCATATATTGCTTACCTTTTGTATGTCATATCAACACTATTTGTATATTATAACTTTCTATTTCTTCATGTGAATACTTTGAATTTTGCAATAAATTTATTGCATTGTGTATAAAGTTAAATATGTCTTATTGTTTGACTTCAATATTTTTTGTTACACATCTGGTAAGTGGGAAAATACATTACGTAAGAATCAGCTGATTAGCGTTTTTCACTTCTTTGACGTACTTATATGTTCGTACGATTGAAAAACTAAAGAAATAATCTTGGCATCACAAATAAGCAGATAATACTATAATGAAATAAAAGAGGAAATATAAGTAAAATATAAAAGAAATAACTAGACAAAAATAGAATTTAGTAAGAGATAAATTTCATATTAACACACGATTATATAGGATTTCTTTGAGTTGAAGAAGTTCAATAGTTGAAATCATTAGTCAGTTGAAGCTAGACCACCATAGAAAGCCTGGAAGCACTGAATGTCCGTTTCGTCCTAGGATGGGACTCAGCATCCACGATCCCGCTCCCCGCGAGGTCATAACCCAGGACCTATCAGTTTCGCGCGCACTGCTGAGGAGTCCCATATTAGGAAAAAACGGTCGTCCAGTGCTCCCAGGTTTTCCAATTGACTCATGATTTCAACTATTGAAACTACTAAAATCTCCACAAAACCCCTTCTGTTAAAGAAGTTCCTTCCATTTTTATGAATTCAAAAGAAAACTATAGCAGGATTACCATTAGGTTGACTGGTTATCGTCCTACTTCTTTTACCCGATCCCAACGCTGCCGTATAATACATGGTACGAAAGCTGCTGAGATGACACTTGTGAAACATATCCAAACCGCTGAAGACAGTATCGAATCTCAGAGTCACTGGCTTTCATGTCCTGAATTGACAGATACGTGGTAATTCATCCACTTTGGCTCCAAATATGAAGAGGTCAGGGAGTGTAAATGTAGGCTGATTTAAAGTCAATTCAATTATCATGGGTATAGAACGGAAAAGAGGTCTTAACTGCAGTGGTAATAATCAACGATCGACAACTCTCAAGATACTTATTTACGAAACAATCAGAATGAGATTGAGATGAGCCCCTGACTCTTAGTGACTTTATAAGTTTCATATCTAATTGAATGAGAGGAACAGTATTGGGGATTGAAAAATTAATCCTGGAGATCTTTTAATGGTGGCAGTCCATTTTTAGCAGTTATATTGACTGTGATATCAAATGTAATCTGGGGACTCGGCATTATGTCATCTGACCTCTCAATGTCTGGTCGTTCCAGTTTATAAAAAGAAACAGGGATTTACATGTGATAAATGTGAATGGGTTAGTTCGCTTAATATAATATCTGAAAATAAAAGTCTTAGTAAGCATACGTCTCCGAACTAGGGTTCGCTATTAAAAACTAGAAAAACTCGATCACATTTCAAACGTGGACGTATCCATTAAATATTCGCACTTGTCATACGAATGCTCTTACATTTATGTTGCTGTTCACACGTGAATCCGGACTTAGTATTTGTCTACTCAAATAAAATTGGTCTATCTACTGAATTCGAATGGTCGCTAGCTTGTTTTTAAGACCGTTGCAGTTTAAACTCAGACCGAACAAACAGTCACAAATTAGTTGTTTATGCATTCCAAAAATCGTTATTAAATATTTGTTATTACTGTTAACTATTTGAAGTCGGTATCATTTAAATACTTTTTTTCTAGTTAAAATCCTATTTTATGCGTGAGGTTGCTAACTTCACACCTAACTCACATTTATGCCAGTTTAGCATCGGCATAAACTCGAAAATAGCTCCGAGCAGAGTTATTTAGATTCGGAAGAATTATTAAAATAGTAAACCATATATCAAACTTATTTACTTCATTTGGCTAGGTTGTTTGTTTTTTCTAAATCAAATTTCATAACTAGTAATTAGTAATGAAATGGAGTTAATTAATATTTGTTTAAATGATTTCGTTTCCTGTATTGGTTATTATAAAGATTTGTCATTATTATTGTTACTATTACTTATTATTATTATTATTATTATTATTATTATTATTATTATTATTATTATTATTGGTAGTAGTAGTAGTAGTATAAATTTTTACGGTCGATCAAACATTTTGACAGCTTCATTCTTGTGAAACCAAAAATTTATTTATATGTAAAGTTGTCCTAGTTCCGTTTTAAAGCATTTTTAATCATAACTTTTAATTCTTTTTTTTGGTACTGTTATTCTCCTTAATCAAAGAGGTTTGCATTTATGTTAATTAATCCTTACTCCCTTTCATATATATACAAATCATATAATATTGAATATATTATCCCTTTAGTGGTTCTAATTTGATACTATAGTAATTATTTGTTTAGTATTGTTATTCTATCAGGGGTTTTTTTTCTGTTTTAATTTTAAATACCTCAAATGAATTATAAATCCCTGTAATTCACCTCTCCTCTTAAATGTTCCTCATTATGTGCATAAATAAATTGTGCATATTTCATGTCATTTAAAATATGTATTGAAGTGGAACGTGTACTACCAAGCTAATGATAACAATAATATTAGTACTTGTCGGAAGTTCGGTGATTATCTTATATTGAAGCATATTTTCAACAACAACAAAATAAACAAGGAAAAATTTTTTTGCGCGTGATTGAATTTTTGCAACGTATTTCATTCTAGAAGAAAGAAACAACAAACAAAATAATTCAATTGTAATAACAGTATTAAAATGATATTTTGCTAATTAATTAGTAAGAATTCCATACATATATTAATGTTATCATGTTAAAAGTTACCAATTCAATGGTATACAATAGTATCAATTTCATTGTGCAATAACTTGGTTTGCTTGTTTGTTTGTTTGTTTTTACAACATGACGGTTGTTATTAGTGATGTATGTAATTTTAAAGTAGGGAAGTGTTGATTGTTTTATTTTAATTTATTTTTAATTATTCGTAAGTTAAAATTTATGACAGTGACTGTTTTTTTTTTGGTTTCTATAAAATGAAAAAAACCCACTGATTTTTTTGTTTGTTTTTGACAAAAAAAATATTTTTTCTATAATAAAAAAAAGAAACCAACTTCCGTTAAATGTCAAATAGAGATTTTAGTTTTTGTTTTATGGAATTAAATTGTGTATTAGGATTCTTTTGATTGCAGAATTAAATAAGGTTTTGCTTTACATACATATTTTCTAAATATAAATCTCTAACTGAATATTTAATTTATATATCCATGCAAATATTGTTATGCAATGATAAAGTAAGATGGGTTTGATAATAGGTTATTATCAAAAAAGAGAGGTTTCACACTTATACAGCGGCTCGTTTTTGGTGGAAATCCGACTGTATCTAAACGTTCTCGAGTCACTGTCCGGTTGAAAGTTGTATGTTACCATCGAATATGAGTACTGAAACAGTTTTACTGAAACCACGTGCGCCATTCAAACTGGCTGCCTTCAACGTTCGCACACTTATGCAGGTTGGTCAACAGATAGGGCTTGCTATGTCTTTGGAAAGTCTTAATATTGATGTTTGTTGTCTATCCGAGACCCGTACTCAAGACTCTAGCGAAGTACTACAAATTCGCTCTACATCTGTCACTTCAAAAAGCTTGTTTTACGTGCGCTTATCCGGGGACCCTGTGGCATCTTCGTCTGGTCTTGCTGGCGTTAGTGTCGCACTAAGCGCTAGAGTTGAGGCAGCACTAGTCGATTGGATCCCTATTAACAGTCGGTTATGTGCTGTTAGATTAGAAAGTTCTATCAAAGTGAGAAGAAATCGGCGTGAGAAACGATGTCTTTTCGTCATCTCCGCCTATGCCCCGACAGATTGCAGCCCGGATGCAATCAAGGATGAGTTTTACCACCAGTGATCAGTTCTTCTCCAGAAAGTGCGTTCGACAGATATTGTAGTACTAGCCGGAGACTTGAATGCTCAGGTCGGGCGTCTAGGCACAGAAGAGAGTCGTTTAGGTGGCCGATGGGGACTTGTTGGTCGCAGGACAGATAACGGGGACCGTCTATTGCAACTGTGTACAGACCACAACCTGTTTCTGGCTAGCACTAACTTTCGGCACAGTCATCGCCGATGTGCCACCTGGCGTCCTCCCTCTGCATCCCAAACCTGGACTCAGATTGATCACATCGCGATCAGCTACCGCTGGCGTGGTTGTGTACAAGACTGCCGCTCCTTTTGGAGTACCTATCTGGACTCTGACCATGCCTTGGTCTGCGCCAATCTTGCCTTACTTTTCAGTGGCCAACGAAGTGACCGCCACCAACGGGTTGATGTTAGCAAGCTGGTTGCAACTCCTGTTGCAAGTAAGTATCGAACCGAGCTAGCCTCTAGGCTAGCTACCACTCCACCGAAAAGTATAGATGAGCATTGGTTGCAATTGCATGACGCCATGAAAATGGCGGGAACAGTCAGTTGTGGGTTTGCGAAACGTCCCGCTTTTAAGCACTGGGTTTCTCCAGGTTCCTTACAACTCATTGAAGCCCGTCAGTCTACTCCGGGTGACCGTGAGTTTGACCATAAACGAAGGATGTTATGTAAGGAAATTGGGCAAAGCTTGCGTAAGAACCTAGAAGCCTGGTGGTCGATGCGTGCTAATGAGTTTAAAGCAGCAGCTGCATCTGGTAATTACCGGAAGCTCTTCCAGCTCATCCGAGCCACCGGCAGCAAGAAGTCTGGTGTGAGTGAAACAATCTGCGAGGATGATGGGATGCCAATCACTAACATCCATCGACATCTTGGACGGTGGGCAGAATTTTTCGAAGGGCAGTTCAACTGGCCTGCTGCTCCGTCAACATCGGTCAGACTGTCCTGCCCTCCATGGCCGGTGACGACTGATCCACCAAATGAAGAGGAAGTCCGCAAGGAACTCCAACTCTTGAAGCGTTACAAATCACCTGGCCCAGATGACTTACCTCCGGCTCTTTCTAAAGATGGTGGTGACTTTCTGACTAAGGAAGTGACGACGTTGTTTACAAAGGTCTGGGAACTAGAGAGTGTACCAACGTCATGGAATGAGTCGATAGTTGTCCCTATCTTTAAAAAGGGTTCACGTCGTTCCTGTAACAACTATCGGGGGATAAGTTTACTTCCGATTGCGTCCAAGCTATTGGCTTCCGTCATACTTCGTAGGTTGTTCAAAACCCGAGAAAGATTGACTCGCGAGGAGCAGGCT